TAATAATTTTCCTTTTTCGTACAAAATAAATTAACAATTCTAAATGTGGCACGGTAGATGCGCAATGGAAGTTACTTTAACTTTTAAATTAACTTTTCTCGTGCAAATAATTTAATTAAAGAGCAACTCCTATTTATTAGCTTATTAGTATGCCATATTATTGTAGGTATATCGTATATTATTGAACCTTTACTAACTGACAGAAGGGGAATCTCAAAATTTCTTGTAAGATATAAAAATAATAATAAAATCTCGTGCGGCAGCGACATTCTGTTAAACCTATGCTTTGTGACCGGTACTCATTGTGTGTAAGTGGATGAAAATTTTAATTATGTGTTTAATATAAAAGAACTGCCTTTGGTCTTCCATGTAACTAAAAATCACATAGACAATATTTACAGCACCATCCCATTATTGATCGGTATGATTTATTTACCGGTGATAACGCGGTGACATACGGACGCGATAATGCTGCGGCGATAACGATTTATCTGGCGGAATTGACAACATGGGCAGCTATTTTTAGCTAAACTTATAATGTTAATTCAAATATTAACAATAATATAAATGGAAGCGTAAACGTTTTATTGGTATGTTGATTAGAAGAATTGATAATAGAGATTTTTTACCTAATCCATAGAGCTTTAACTAAGCAGCTTCCACCCGCCACTTCGATCCGTTAAATTTCTCTTTACGTTGTTTTCAATTACCCCTGGTCCCACCCATGACATGACTCCCTGGTAGGTCCACGGGCATTTTTGTTTACCCATTATCCCACCGTTCTTAACAGTATTCGCCAGTGGGTCTACTTAACTTTTTTATCTGTAATAAAACGACGAGAGTTATTTGAACTGTTTCAATTTCCCTCCTAAATATAACACAAATGGCATAACACATAAGTACATATCTGTTATTTAAATTTATAATATATAATAAATAAATAATAAAAAAATGCCTTAATGTAACAATTATCTTTACAAATTGGTGCTGTGCATCGGTAAAGTTGTGCTGTGTTTCGAGTATCTTTAGATGATGTATAAATTATTTATGACTAGTCCTGTGGCTCCGTCTGAAAAAGTACCGAAAAACAAAGTTGTATGAACCGTTCAACCGGTTATTTTACAGTACAAAATAAAAAAAACCCGGGAGTAGCGTTTTGCTTATTGTCAATGCTACAAATATCCTTACTTCCTGCATATATTATAAATGTGAAAGCTTGTATGTTAGTATTAAGATGAAATTTTGCTTACTTTATATCCCGGAAATTACTTATTGGGTTCCTATGGGATTCTAAAAAACTAACCGTAATCGTGAACGGGAGCTTGTAGACAATATTTTTATTTGTAGTGGTATAAGCGTCATAGTACACATATCAACTCGGAAAGGGATCAATACCAACTCGCCTTTCGGCTTGCCGTCAAATAGGCGTCCATCTAACGTAAGCGGATAAGCAGCTCCTGTATGTTTGGATCGGCTACGGCTAGGCGACGTCGCAACTCTGCGCTTACAGCTCGCCATCCGCTCGTTAACGGCAAGACGGTACCAGTTCGATCAGTCATAGATAAAGTAATCACTCCGTTTTAGAAGTCGGCACTGCCAATTAAAAAGGAGTTGTTACTTTCTCTATAGATAGCACGTTTGACAACGCATGCCGAGGGAGAGGCATATACGTAGAAGAGACCTGAGAGGCACGGATAGACGTAAGCTAGGCTACGGAGGGACGTAAGCTAGGCTATGGAGAGACGGTAGCTAGGCTACGGAGAGACGTAAGCTAGGCTAGGGAGAGACGTAAGCTAGGCTACGGAGAGACGTAAGCTAGGCTACGGAGAGAAGTAAGCTAAGCTACGGAGAGACGTGAGCTAGAATACAGAGAGTTAACCATGCACGTTCGGGTGCTTATCCCGAGATGACTTGATTACGTAACGATTTCGATTAGTGTGTGTTGCAGTAGGGAGTTTCATTCAAGGAATACTGAACGGCTCGAGTTGATACGGTGACGATCCCCTTCAGAGTTGATTAATGTCTGTTACGATTTTAGTAGTTCAGTAATTTTTTCTATCGAGAATATGGATTTCAATCAATGCTGTTGCTACTTTTGCCAAATGGATTAGTTTTTGATTTATTTCTGCGGTTCGTACTGTCGAAACATGAAAATATGATTCAGACCTACTTGCGCCAAAGTTTAAAATTAAATTAAGCTTAGTTTGTCAAATTTAAAAACTACTACTACTATTGTTTAAGCCTCATTCGGGTGTCGGTTCTGGTATGATTCTCTTAACTTATAACTAAATTTAACATCAGTCTCTCCTTTTCATTCTGTACAGAGAACAACAAGGATGCACTGTTGTCAAATTTAAGTTTAGGTTTAGAGAATCATGCCAGAATCGACACCTCTATTTATTTATTTATTCAATTTAAACATGCAGGCTTACAGAATAATCCAACACGCCGGCAAGTCATACATACAAAATATTAACAATCATGGAAGGTATTCATTAAATTCAATAAAATTAAGAAAAAGAGAATCTATCTCTGTTTGACTTTAAACATTTGACAAAATATGAAATAATGTGTATAAGAGGATTCAGCTTTTATTTGATTTAGGAATGTTGGTGCAAGTGGCCCCTAATTTACAGAACAGCTCTGCTCTTCGTTAATTAACTGATGCGCACCGGCCTTGTTCCTTAGATACCTACGCGTTCACAGAATTTATATACCTAATGCGCATAAATTGTGGATTGCCTATTTGGCGAAGTTAGTGCGGTGCGTAGGTAAGTTAGCGAAAACCTTATTTGCATCATTATCGTAACACCCACATGTACAATTTACGATTTTTCTTAGGGTATTTTGGAAATTATTAGGATAGCCTTACGGTGTGAGGTATGGTATGCATTGGTTTTATTGTGAACACTAAATCTTTTAGAAGTGTTTGGAAGAATTTTGGGAATTGATAGTTAAATACATTTCTATATAAGCTTCTCTTATAAATATTTTTTGAGACCTTAGCCTAGTCCTCAAATTATTTTAGAACTAGCCAAGAAGATCACATGTTTACGTACTTGACAACGATTAAACTTTATCTTAATACAAATAATTATAATCTATGCAACTCAGGAATAATGTAGATTTCTACTGGTGAAAGAATTTTTGAAAATCACTTCAGTACTTTCAAATATTACTTCCTACAATAGGCTAGTTGACACTTTTTGGAAATATGTTTTAAATGGTTAATAATTGTTCAATTAGACCCTAAAAAAATGTATTGTATTTTTTTTTTAAATAGAAAGCTACAAAACTTTAATTTTAAAATAGAATTTTCATGGACATACAAAACGCTGTCGGCCATTTTAGTCTATAGATTATCTATGGTATGACGGGAACAAAATAGTAAACAAACACTCGCAAGCACGTAGGATCTGAATTTACATTACAAAACCATGATTTCTAATAGATTTCATGATTAATATAGTAATTATCATGATTGTATTATACGAGAATATAGAAACACATCGTTAAAGACTCCAGAAATATTGTGGTTTAAATTTTAAAGGTTATGAATGTACCTGCTAAGTCAAAGAGTTTTGTCGTTTCTGCTTTCATAAATCCGGCGTCCAGCATTAATATAGTCAACAAAACCAATAATTTTTTATATATATTTTAGTCCGACGAAAGAAACCACAGTAACACGCAATGACGTTTAATTGTTTGCTAATATGTTGACGTCACAATCATGGTGGACAGCGATTTTAGTGTTTGTAAAGCACAGACTAAAAAACTATTTTTAAAATTAAATTACTACAGCCATCTTCTAATTTTATGAAGTGAAATCGATGTATTCAGGATCCTCATAACAAAAATTATACGACATAAACATTTGTATAGTGCAATTTGACATGAGTCAACTAGCCTATTTAATTCAAACTTGCTTCTTTCTTCATCTTTTGTTTTAATAAATCTTTAACCACTTCTACTTTTACATAGTGGCAGCACGACATAAATGATAATATCAGATATAAGGAATACTTATATGATATATAGAAAACGAATATGATAATATCAATAAACTCTTAAATACACATATGTAAATACAAGGCAGAAATTATTACATGATTTTATGTATTCTTTAACGTAAAATATTCCCATCTGTAGTTCGCAAATGCCGGTTGTTTTAAATTTGTATTCAAGTTAATGGCATTCGCTTATGTTCCATCAGATAAAGTACTTAAAATTTACATAGTAACTCAATCGCTCGAGCGTTCTATACACTCTTATCAGTCTTAACCCTCATGTTGTGTACATCTATACGGTTTATGTATGTGCTCTTGTTTAATTATGTACGATAACGATAAGTTCTAGTATATGCCATTTTTATTGTTTAAACTAAAAAAGTCTTTTAATATAAGCCAATATCTTCACTCACTCACTATCAATTAAAATTACAAAATACCACAAAGAATTGTCATACCTACTTTTGGTAAATTTTTAGGTTGCATCTTGCCAGCCGAAATAATAATCAAAGCCTACATCCTTTTTCCCGTAAATGCGGGGAACTCTGCCAACCCCACTTTTGGTACTGAACCACACTAAATACAAAATATTGTTTGAAATTGTTTAGCTGTAGACTTCTGTAAAGTGGTATGGCCTGAGGGTGCTTCAAATTAGAAATTTTAAATTAATTCGGTCTGTCCGTCTGTGACTGTTACGTGGCCATGCTACGCGGCGATATGAATAAATTTAAAAAAAAAAATACATATTTAGGGTTGGACATAGGCTATTATCTATCGCAAAAAAATAAACGTGATTGAGGTGAAAGAAGGTACAACGTCTTGTATGGCCAACCAGTTTTGCCAAAGTTAAACAATATATGCAGGCGAAGTCGCAACCCCCGCTTTTGATGATCGATAGATTTCTAAACTTCTGATATTTTAAATCGTAAGAATAGAAATCTAAAGATATTTTATTTGCAAGTCTCTGTATGAAACAAAATTTCTTTGTTACAGAACCGAAAGGACAGAAGATACAGTGTCGAGTAGCGGTAACCTCAACAGCAACAGCGTAGTGCGCCACAAAATAGTCGTAATGGGAGCTGCTAAAGTCGGCAAATCGTCGCTTATCTCACAGTTCCTCTACACCACTTTCTCGCCGAAATACAAAAGGACAATAGAGGAAATGCACCACGGCGACTTCAATGTGTCCGGAGTGAGACTGACTTTAGATATTTTAGACACGTCAGGGGCATATGAGTTTCCCGCTATGAGGGCGCTTTCGATGCAATCGGCTGATGCTTTTATTCTCGTATACGATATCACTGATGCAGATAGTTTCTCAGAAGTGAGAGCATTGAGGGATCAAATACACGAAACGAAGGAGAGCACGGCGGTACCGATCGTGGTCGTCGGCAATAAGGTGGACTTGGCCGAGAGCGGCGCGAGACAAGTAAGTTTTTTGATGTGGATGTGATATTCTGTAAAAAGTTCTTATGCATAAGTGAACCGAAGAAACACTTCGATGAACCTCTAATGCGTAACTTTTTTGTATAGGCTGTACTTGATTGTACTTCTTCTTATCCCACCACGTCTGTTCATAAAGGCAGAAATATACTTTTAAGTCGTGTTGTGTCGTGACGCATTAGAGAGTTATCAGTTTCATTCGTTTTGTACGGTTAGAGTGAGTACTGTAGTGACACATTGCGATAGATCGCGATACACAAATATAATTCTAACCGTATTAAATGCATACCGATACCACACTGACGCGTTACGTCACAACACGACAGATTTCTGCCTTAATGTTCGCGGTAACCTCAAAAAGTCCATGGGGTAGGGGATTGGGTCAGGGTAAGCAACCGTGCAAGTTATATTTTTGGTATCGCAAGCATCTGTACTATAGGCTACAGTGGTCGCTCATCATCAGGCGGGTCATACGCTTATTAACACTCTATTAACATAAAAATGTTTTAACAAAATAATAAAATCGCCGAAATGTAAAAAATTATAAACCTTTTTTTATTTTTAGTCAAATTAATATTTGGAGTCGGTGTCAGTGCCAGGCCAACCCAAGTAGTGAACTAGGTCTATCAGACCTGAATGGCACCGACTCCAAATAATCAATTAGACTAAAGATAAAAAAAGGTTTATTATTTTATACTTTTCAGCGATTTAATAAAAATGACTTTTAAATAAAACTAGTTTTTACGGGTTAATGCACGAAACTTTATTTATTTATTGACGTTTCGCAGCCTTTTCAGGTCTGCATCGTCAGAATAATAAACTAGTTTTATTTAATGAGTGATGTGCGTGAAAACCTAAGAAACAAATATAAAAATGACTTTTGTTGAAAAGTTTTTATTTTGCTTTTTTTGTGGCTATAATTTTTGTAATTTACAACTCGGCACCAAAATATGTGAGTGAACAATTAACTATGCCCTGTTTTCATACTCTTAAGGTGTTATTTTTTTGTAATTCATATGGGTCCAACTTCGGGGTTTATATACACTTTCCAATATGAAAAGAATTATCAAAATAAGACTACTCTGTAACAAATATGTGTTGTCATACATTAGAATCAGTTAGTAAACAATCAATCATCCCCTGTTTTCATACCCTTAGAGTTAGCTTCTTTCCATATTCATATGAGACCAATTTCTGGGTATACCCTTTCCAATAAAAAAGAATTATCTACTCTATAAAAAGTTGGTAATACATAAAAAATATCCTTTTTTTGTCGGTTAAAAAAGAAAGAATGAATATGAGGTGTATTATGGCCATGGAATTATCTGCTTTTTGTAAGGAATGTGAGCATTCTTTATAGCGGCCAGTGACAAACACTAATGTTTTTTTTTAACTTTCCACTAGCACATTTGATACCCTGTCGTCGACTCGACCTCGATAACTTACGTTGATGTGCAACTGCAACTCCAAAGTAATAAGTTATTATATCAATTAATAAGTACATGTTTCATCAATTTAGGATATGATGTTTTATCATTTGTGTAACATATTGTTTAATTTTTAATTAATACTTTACTTTGCAAATGGAGCTAACGATCAGACACACAATAAATATCTTTAACGAATGTAATAAGAACAACTAGCAAAAGTCGAATAAATTATGAACTATTAATTTGACGCCTTTTTTCTAGGATATTCATGAAACATTTTTGAACAAACGAATGTAGATGTTTTATATGTAACCAGAATTGCCCAAATACACAGGTTATAGAATAAATTTCATGACCTAGTCAAAAAAATAATAATTACTAAACTAAACAATATTACAGGTAGGATTTAATATTTTGTTTCATTTTATTAACAAATTTTATTCAGGGCGAATCCAAAAAGTTTGCCTAATAATAACCCTTTTCATATCTAAACATATTATTTATCTCACGCGACTTCAAACCTTTATAATAAACCTCGGTATTTTATTAATTGAATATTAGAGCCCTTTTGAATTAGGAGTAACTACTTCTAAATTTATTTTACAACACAATTATATAAGGATAACTTGATAACTTATTCATTATTTACAAGAACCACCGATTGGTAGAAGGGAATAAACACGTTTTTTTCCTAATTCAATTTTACATGTACTACTTTTTTATCTTAGTGTTTAGTAGAGTAAAGCAGGAGAGTTGGTGCCATTCCAGTCGCCGCCCCGTTTACACTTGTTCCAGTAGAGTGGCATTTCGTCACCAGGATGGACGAGTATTGTAATAGAACAAACAGAAGAAGAAATTTTATTTGAAATAAATAAACGAAAACGTATATTGGTGCGCAAATAGATTAGTCGTAGACTCACACTTGGAGCAAGTGCCTTGTTGCTAAAAGAATTAGCTATTGAAGACCACAAAGAGTATCGCGATTCAATGAGAATGACCGAACAATGACAACACAAATTTGAGAATAGTGTCTTCTGACCATTTCGCCATGTTAATTTATGCATGCGTCCACCTGCACTCATGCACTCTACTAAACTGTCTAAATTGTCCATTTACACACTGCCAGTAGCAAGGATAGTACAGCGCGGGGGGATGAGCGGGCGCGGGAGGGGTGAAACTGGAAAGAGAAATAGAAATCGATCCTATTTTGTTTCTAGTCGAAGGGCGAGTGGAATCGTACTAAAACGAGTCACTGGAAGCTACCGTTTACACGTTTCTACTAAATTACTCTCATAGAGTATCTACTAAACACTAAAATACTGTAAAGCAGCCATTATATGTAACCGCACCGTGTGCGTCAGGAGACAGGGGTAAATCACTTAAACTTATAGTTTCATGTGATCTAAAAAAAGTTAGTTGGAAGGAAGGAACAAATCCATATATATTCAACGATATCCCACACGATGGGGTAGAAGATGAAAAAAAATCATGACCAGGTTAAATGTAGAGGAGCTACCATAAAAAAATTAATTTTCAAATTTTTATTCTACCATTTTGTCGGCGAGACCGATATACATATTTTCACAAAATTACAGCTCTGTAGTCCTAATGGTCTCTAAGCAAAACCGGGGACGGACAGACGACATGCCGAAACTGTAAGGGTTCCTTGTCAGGACTACGGAACCCTAAAAACAGACAAAGTTTTTGTAATATTTTTGTTCATAATTAATCAATCTTCAAATGTCTGTAGCGAGAGCATGTCGCACATAATTGCACGCATTTCGATAACGTTAATAATATAGTACATTACTGCTGCAGCCAGCAAAAGGGGCTTTTTTATTTTTTAAGAAATGAAATGATTTATTATTGTATATTTATTCCTTGATGACCGAACGTGTAAATGTGGGCCGAGGAGAAAGTTGATACGTGATATAAACGTGAGTCCATCAATAGTGAGTAGTTGTGGTCAAGGCTTGTATAGTGCTTTTCCCAAATAATGCGCGGAAATTAAAACTAATTTGTACCAATTTGCCGGCCGCTGCTCGCATGTACGAGTATGTGGGGAGTACAGCAATTTCGATTTATCTCAAAGAAAGTTGTCAAAATAATGCTCAAATGGCGTGAAGAAGCATTTTTGCAGGCCGGCAAGGTGAGTACCTATGGTTGGTGTAGCAATTTATAACCAAGCATATTTGAGAAAAGTTTATTTCTGTTATCTAAGTGCGTGCAATATAAAGTCACATTGAAGGATTAAATTTTAAGATTAATTAAACAAATACGCGTTAGCTTTAATAAACAATTTAGTGTATAAATCCCTATTCATAAGTAAAATAAATCAGACTAAAAATCATCTCGAGTCTTCCCTACTGATTAGCTGCTATAGATGGTGTCGCCAACTTCTGTGTAATTTTGAGTACTAAATGCTATGTAGTTTTGTATGAAATGGAAAGAACGGAGCATGACCAGTACGGATTGGTTGATGTTATAATAACTGCAGATTCATTAGATGTGTATGGAACTCGGATATTTAGTAATTTTTGGGTTACTCTTCCTATTTTGCGCAGATCGAACACGCTAACTTCTGCGGCGTCTGCGCCATCGAATTCTCTGTCATTTAAATATAATATAATAAATACCTCTCTATAGTATACATCATATTTTATGGACTATAGATAAACGGTACGGTTAAGTAAACGACAGTAAATACTTAACTATATTTATCATAATATGGATTGGCAATGGGCACCATCTGCTATAACAATAAACCTTGAGGAATAGCTATTGAAATTGACATTAAATATATATGAAAGAGGCCGCTCCAGCAACCTATAAAGTCCATAAATTGATATTATGGTTATTGGTGTTAGGTGATGATAAAAACTTATTGCACAACCACGAAAAGGTAAGAGAATATATTCTATCAAAAATATTGGAGTAGTTTCGCCGTGCCTAGGCAATAGAACCAAACATAGTTTAATTGTAATTTATACATACTCCTTATGGTCGCGTCAAGTTTACTGCCTATCCTTGTAGTGTTTCCAGAAAATAGATAGTTCTGTAGGTGGAGACAATCAAAACTAATATTATAAATAGGGAAGATTTCATTGTTTGTTTATATTGAAAAGGCTCCGAAACTACTGGCACTCTTTCACATTTAGAATCCTACATTATCCCTGATGAACATAGGCTATAGAATATTTTCAAAGATGTTAGGGTTCCGTATGAAAAACCAGATATTGTAACCCAGTGTGTTAAAAAAAAAATGCCTAAAATCAACCTATTCTGTGGAAGTCATAAAGTGATGTACTAAAGTTTTATGAAGGACATTAATATCTACAAAAAAGTCCGTGATACCATAATAATATGTCATAACATTTTCAGTTTTGTCACAATTAGAGGTCCTGCAGTTTCACCCGCGTTAATTTGAGGAAAAAGTTTATAGTGAGTCAAACTTAAAAATTTATAGTTTCAAAAACTAAAAACATGCTTTTATTTACTGCACTAAAAAGCCAAAAATAAACAAAATATACTCTCTGTTTACTTCATTAGGGCCTTA